AGAGCATTTAAACAATAGACGCATTCATTCCTTGATCTCGATGTGATGGAAACAAAAATGACCGGCTTGTTCAGTTTAATCCAGTTTGACTCTGATCTGGTTTAAGACTCTGGGAGATCGTTCTGTCTTTAAGTCACAAAGATCTATTATCAGTATCAAAACAAACCAAAAGATAAATTACTCCGTTTTTTTTTTTCAAGTGACTGCTTCCGTATGAACCTTTACATTTAAAATCTTTGAATGAATGAAAAGTTTCCAGTTTCTTAAATGTGAAGATTTGAAAAAACTCAAGTTCAGACTGAAAACTTTCCAACATTAAATCGAGGAGAACAGATTCTAAACGATCGTTTTGTTTTCAGTGTTGTATCTTTACCAGGAGGCGTCGAGCGACAGCAGGTCGATTCCTCTCTGTAACATCGGCTTGAACCTCAGCGTCAGAGGAAACGGCACCTTGGCTGAAACACGAACGAACAGAAGATCATTTACATCAACATCACGATATGAGAAACAAAAACACTAATTACTGTGAGAACAAGGTGGATTTAGAATAAACCTGGTGTGAGCGTCACTGACTCCAGGACGAGTTCAGTAAACAAGAGGATTGTTCTCGTCGGTGTTTTCTCTTTTTTCTGGAAGATTTTGTTTTGTATTCCCATAAAAAGAAATCCCAGAAGCAGGAGTTGAAATTCTCTCTTCCTATGGATCAAGCTACAAAAACACTGGATCCTACATTTCCCATAATGCATCTTTTACTCGTCTTTCTGCTGTAAAAGAGTTTTTTTACTTCATGTTTACCGGTTGGACACGTTTTAGAACCTCCGCAGTTTTTCTCATTGTTCAAATGTAAAAACATTAAAGTGATAACGAGAACACAGCGGTGTTGTTTGTCTCCGCCCACCACTATGTGAATCTGATCAGTTCGTCTTTGAGTGACAAGTTGGAAACTTTCTATGGGAATTAACAGGAATAAATCTGAAATTTACTAAATTGGAGTTTGGCCCTCAACAGGGAACTTAAATATAATTGGGGAAAATATATTGTAGCATAATCTTGGCTCAAACCACCAGATTTACTTCACGTACACTCCTCAATCACATGCACACGGCTTACTGCAGGGCTATTGAGGCCACACCCCCTGCATGCACTGTGCATCCATCACATGCACATCTGATTATTGAAGTCACACATTTGAGCCCGAGGACTGAAGTCAGTAAGTTCTGATAATATTATGGGGTAAATATATTTGATCTGTGATAGTATTGATGTTTCACTTGGAAACATTAAATAAAAATAGGTGCTGAATGTTAATTATTTTTCATTTCATTGACCGTTTAAGATGTTTTTGTTGTTTATTAAAGAAATAAAACTAAAGTTCTACTCAAATAAATCTGTTGAAATGTTTTTTCATTGTATTATTTTGCATGGACGTCTGCTTCAATTCAATTCAATTTTATTTATATTTGGATATGATCCAGTTTGTTTAAATTACCCCCAATTTACAGTTAATTCCCATAAATTCCCACAATTCTCATGGAAAGTTTCCAGAAAGTTTCCGGAAATGTTCCACTCCTTTGCAACCCTGGTGACAACTGATCTAAACATGAAGAAACTCAAGCTGCACACGATGCCTTCGTCCACAAGGTGTCGCTGGTGCAGAGACATAGATTCAAACTGCATCGACACTGATGTCAGAACTCACTTATGACGAATCCAGAGAAAGCCCAGTTGATCCATCCACCAATCACAATCATGGGCAGGACGTTGGTCAGGTTTCCCTTCATCATGTCCGTCAACATGCTGGTGTCTGAAACAGATCGTTCACTGTCGGTGAGCGAAGAGACGACGACAACGACCAACGTTTGTTCACATTAACACAATGCAGCGTCTTTTAAAAAAATGTAAATGAACGTTTGGACATAAAAGTCAGTTTAACAACAGAGTTATAACGTTTAAAACGTTTATAACGTTGAAGCTGCGGCTCGATTAAAGTGAGTCTGATGTGTGAGTGTGAACAAGGAGAAAGTTTCCTCCAGAAGAGTGAAGCTGAACTGTGATCAGTTCAAAACACTGAGAAGTTATTAACAACCAGAGTTTATCTCCAAAATTCAGATATTTTATCCTACGTATAGGAAGCAGAGGATCATGGGTAATATCCAGTGTGCAGTTGTGTTTCAGTTCAGTGGGACGACGCAGTCAGAGCTCAACACATGAAAACAACTTAAATGCAAATGAAAACTCTGTTGTGATCTGAACACACACTGACACACTGACTGATTGACACACTGACTGACACACACACACGCACGCACGCACGCACGCACACACGCACACACACACACACACAGACAGACAGACACACACACACCTGTCATGGGGTTCTTGGGGACGACCTTCCTCTTGACCGTCTTGAAGAATCCCGTCTCTGCGTTGTTGAAATAATGTTTCCTCATAGCGAACGACTGAAACAGTGAAAACACAGAATAACTCTGTCAGACTCCTCCTCCGTCACACGAAGACGCAAATCCCAAACTGTGAATCTCAGTCAGTGGATCAGAGAGGGAGTTCACCTGTCGCGGGATGTACTTCCCATTCTCTCTGAGGATGCGGCTGCGCAGGAGCACCTGACTGCACAGAGACACACGTTCACATTAGTGTCGACACTGAGCTCAACAAACAGAGAAAACCTGAACTCTACAGATTCAGCTCCGTCGGTCCGGGCCTCACCTGTCGGAGACCTGCTCCAGGTCCACCTTCTTGTCGCTGTGGAGAAGCTGGGTGACGTAGTGACGGATGATCCCGACGAAGAAGGTGATGAAGACGATGGGCAGGACGACCCACAGACGAATACTGGAGTCCAACAAGAGCTCTGGACTCGCCATCGCTCTCTGTTCAACCTGACACACGAAAACAGACGAGGGGGACGCTCTGTCGGAGAACAAGATTCCACATGTCAGGAATTAGATATATATATATACACACACAGATCATGTATCAGTGTGTATATATACACACTGATACATGATCTGTGACAGGCTCAAACATCTTCATTCAATCTTTATTTACATCAATGCAGCCGAGCACCGAAAATAAAGAAAACATTCAACAGGAACAAATAACATTCAGCAACTCAAACAATCAAATCTAATAATAACTGGGGTTCAAATAAAAACATGAACTGAGGATAAAAAGTAAAGGTTGAATTTGGATGAATTGCTCTGGATGTTATTTCATGATGAGGAACACTGGGTTTACGAAGCTCAGTAAAAGCAGTGAGATCTCCTGCAGTGAGATCCAGGAGGTGAAGGAGCATCGAGGTCCTGAAGGAGAAATAAAACCCAGAGGACAGAATCTTAAAACAGCAGAATCCTGATTCATTAATGAAACTTCCTCCTCAACAATGAGCAAAGGTTCCTCAACACGTTTCTTTCAGCAGCGCAGAGAGAAACTTTAGTTTCATGAAGTTTTCTCATCAATGCAGATTCAAGAGTAAAGTACAAGTACACAGACTCTTAGTACTTTTACCTTTTAACTTCAAGGTACATTCTTCTGGTTGTTCAAACTTTCATGGAGCAAAAACTACAAACACACACATGAACCATAACTACACACACACACACATGAACCATAACTACACACACACACACATGAACCATAACTACACACACACGAACCATAACTACACACACACACACACATGAACCATAACTACACACACACGAACCATAACTACACACACACACACACATGAACCATAACTACACATACACACACACACACACACACACACACACACACACACACTTGTACACACACAGGTTTGGTATTAGATGAATCTCTCTCTGAGCTGATCACTGATCTGCTCGAGTCATCAGCTGTTAATAAAACCTGAAACGTTCCTTCATGAAACAACAATGAGCACAGATCAACTCACTGAGTCCACCGTGAGGCCCGAGGAGCAGCGAGCAGCTAACAGCTAGCAGCTAACAGCTAGCAGCTAACAGCTAGCAGCTAACAGCTAGCAGCTAGCAGCTAACACCACAGCTGGAGCTCCGGTCAGCTCTTCCGGAGCTAACGACCGGAGCTAATAACCGGAGCTAACCCGCAGACACTGACCTTCTGACCCCGGATCAGTTTCACTCGCCGGCTGCCAGCTGACGTTAGCATTAGCAAACAGCTAGCATGAGCAGAGTTGGCTGCCGAACGCGCTTCCTGTTTCACTCTGACTCATTTCCACAAACTTTCCGTGGCTTTGATTCGAACTCTTTGATCTGAAGCCGGAAACGAGCGTCGGTTGTTCACTCACCACATCGATCACCTGTGACTGACGCAGACACGCTTCCTGTGAGAGGACGCGAAGAAGAGACAACTTCCGGTTCAAGCAGGAAGAGGAACACCTACAAAATAAAGTCCTGCTGTCAGCTGATGGTGGACCACGATAACAACCAGACTTGTTGATTTACAACATGTCTCCTCATCTTCATCAGTGACTCCTCAGTTCATGTGTCTGCTCCTTCATCTCTATCAGACATGTCCTCATGTACAAATACTTTAAACAGGAAGTTAAACTGTTTCTTCTAATGTAGAGAATCTGTTGATGTCTTCAGTTCTTCAGCATCTATTGTCCTGGTGTCCTGGAGACGGATCCTCACATGTGACTCTGAGACAAAGTGTGATTTCTGAATATGGGACTTTGCAAATAAAATTGATTGATTAAACTGAATGTAAGTTCTGTTCATGAAATAGTTTCTTATAGAAATAACGTTTCATTGAGTAAATCTCATGAGCAGATATATGAGATGATGTCATTTAAAATCTCACACAAATTAAAGAAAGTAAATAAATGTTTCCCGTAAACTTGATCGATGTGAAGCTTCTTTATTTCACGATGTTGTTTCTGAACCTCTGATCCGATCACGTGAAGTCGACACTTGTTTAGTTACGTTGTGTTTTACTCTGAAGCTGAGGCTGGTTGTTTTATTCTGGAAAAGGTCACGTGACAGGAGCCTGACGAATCAGTGACGGCTGCGTTGTGACGGATTACATCCAATCAGAAACAGGTTGAGAGCGTCATCGTTTCCGAACATCTCAGTTTCTGCTCGTCCAGAGTAAAACGCAGCCCCACAGTTTCGCAGCATCGTTAACTCCACATTAGCGGCTCTAGAACTCTGGAGGAGTGTGGACACCAGACGGATCCTGAGTTGACGTGTTTTCAAACTAACACGTAGACGTGTGGATGCAGCTTTTTGTTTGCGCGGTGAGATTGTGTGAAATCTGTGAAACAAAACAGGAGACATCTTCCATCAACATGAACAGATTTTATATCTTTAGAGCAATAAATATTTCCACTTTTCCATATCTCTGCAATTTCAAAAACAAAGTACAAGTAATATATATTTATATACACAGCTAAAATTTCCATACATAGTTTTTAAAATAATGTGGTCTCTGTTGACACATATTTGACACTGTACTCGTACAATTTTACAAGGACTATTCCAGTCTCTCTTTGCTCTACATTATAAACAAGAAATATTTTTTACTCCATAAAGCGGTCCATTGTTTCGTCACATACAACGAAGACCCCCGGTCCATGCCCTTATAGATACACACAAAACAGACTGCGTCTACACAGGAGCATTTGAAACTTCACCTGAATCAGATCTGATCCTGTTTTTTGAATGTTCCCTGTTTCTCGTGCAGCTGTCGAACCAGATCTGTTTCTGTTGATATTAAAACTCTTCTGTTCCTGGTGCAAACGCAGCCGGAGACAAACTGCCTGCTGCTGAGCAAAGTGAGTACTCGCATTATTTTTCATTTAACAATGGTTATGTACATTCATGTTTATAATACAATTTCATTCAGTGCAGATACTGTAATAAATACCACATGCAAACTGATAGTGGAGAGCAGACCGGGCAGAGAAAACGTATTTAAACGGAGTATTTAAAGAACCATAACTGGGTTTGTGCATGTTCTTACACTACATGTACTTTATATCACTTCTGCGAAAAATTAATTTAAGATTGATTAAAAGTTAATTTGAGTTAATTTGAATGGAAACCTGCTCGCAGATAAATAATCCATCACACAGATATTTATACTTATATCAAACTAGAATAACAAGGAGACATCACAGACTCCTGTGTCCAGCACTTAATAATAATAATAATAATAAAAACAATTAGATGGACGGATAATCTTCACCAAACTCAGAGATCTCAACAACAAATATGATTTTTTTACATCAATATCCGAAATTTATTTCCTGAGAAATTGACAAAGCTATCAACACATGCCTGGGTAATGTTCTAAAAAGTGGAAAAGCTGATTTGGATTTAACGGGTCGATTCCCAATGACTCCACCAACTTTGGTTCTTTTCATGTTATCCTGCTGAACCAAATAATCAAACCAACAACTCACCAGGCGGCCGATGGCTCAATGATCTGCCCCGGCCTCAGACTACGAGGGCTTGGTAATATTATTAAATATTATTAGGTTCATAAATCATAAAAACTTTCTGCTTCAGCCCCATAAATGTTGATAGTGATGGAAGATCTGTCTGCAGCAGGAGTCTCTTCAAGTCGATTTTAGTTTTTAGAGATCGACAGTGATTTCAAAGCCAAAGGAAAACAAATCTAAAACCTGAAGGTCATGTCCAGTACACGTGGTTTGTTCAGGCAACAACATGCATGAACACAGGAATGGAACTTGAAAATGGGAACTCCATGTGTTTGATTCAGGTCAAACATGCAGTGAAGCAGAGTGAGATGTTGAGTGATCCCATGCGAGGTAGGTTTGATCCAATGCTCCTCGAGTTGGTGTTGGTCTGGATTAGTTTGACTTCGAGGCCTCTGCAAAGAGGCAGCGTTTCCGTTGGTCATCGCAGATACACGATACAACGGCCCAGAATTCCTAGCAGCTCATCTTGTACTGTTTATTTGAATTGTGGCGGACATGTTGCTTGTTTCCATTAAAAAGCAGGTGAGAGGCTTCGCTGAGGCTTCAGGATGATGTGCAGACGTGTTCACGGGAGCAAACAGGGTGAGTGGAAGTAATTATCACAGTCTGTATTAAACATGTTAGAAGAAGTTGAATGTTAGACACAGAAAATTCTTGGTTTAGTTGTAAACATATTAAAAATTAAAAAGATTTTAGTACAATTACAAAATGCCCAAATCAGGAGAGGAAAATAAATCAATCGTCTCACACTCGTTAGCACATGACAAAATAAAAAAATGCTAAAAATACAAAACAGCCCGAGGAGTACGTTATGTTAGTAGAAGCTTGTCACACAACAATATTGATAATATCAGTAGCACACTCTAAAAAGTCAAAAGGGTTCTTCAGATTGAAAACAACAGGGAACCCAGGATGGTTCCCTGAGGAACTCCGTCAACCGATTTTAGATTGAAATTAAAATATAATAATCCACGATGATATTTCACACAAAGTTACGAAAATAAGGGATTTGTGTGGTTTTTCTAAAATGCTGAAAGAGCCTGAAGAACCCTGATGAACTTGTGGAATTTAGAGCGTGCGTTTTGTTAATTCACACAATTCTGAACCTGTTACAGATTGATGCTGTTGGCCCCATTGAAAATAGAACACACTGTACAGTTAATATCTACAGTTGCCGCATTCACGTCATCACTGGGAAACTAGATTTGTGTCGTTGATGTTTGAAGTCAGAGCATCAGAGAAATATCCCATCATCCCCCAGGGTGACATCGGTAAATATTCATTTGTGGCCGACAGAAGTGGACAGTGTGACGGGACAGAAATCAGCACTGACCGGCTGGTCAAATAAAACAGGTGAAGAACTTTCTACCAGGCATCGTTGGCTTCCTGCTCTGAGATCAGCGTCATCTGGTCTCAGCAGAAATAAGAGAAAATACACTTCAGTGCTGGCATCTTAACTCAAAATGTAAAAATAAAGTGTCATAATGATTTTCTTGAAGAATGATTCTCTCGTGACGATGAACATGTTCTGCACTTTACGTCTGTGACACGTCGAGTCCTTCTCGATGGATTTAGGTCCAGTTTTCAGGTTTGTGTCGGATGAGCTCAGTCAGATTAACACGACGCAGTCGATGGCTGGTGTCTATTAGTGTGAAATGATACAATCAATCAATCAATCAATATTTTCTTGATTTAGATGTTGAACTGTCTCTGAACATCAATGTAGTCTCTGTCTTTTTTAACATCCCTCTGCATGAAGGCACCTTTTCTCCATTTTGCAGCACAACAACAAGTAGTGAATGTGGGAATTAACTTTGTTCACCGGAAACGTTTTCAGGGTTTTTTCATCCTGTTGAGAGAAACTTTAAAACCTCAGACTGGGTTAGATA